GGGGAGGAAGGTCCCAGCGCCCTCAGGCCGCCGGGTTGCGGGTCGGCCGCTGAGGGGCGGGGTGGGCCCGGCCGTAGCTTGTGCTGGGGACAGGGAGTCCCCTCGGTGGCGGCTGGCGGGTGGCAGAGCCGCCGTGCTGGCACGGGGCTGGGGGCAGGAGGAGCCGCCTCTGTCCCAGCTGCTTCTGAAACGCTGCTTTGCTCCGTAAGCACCGGAGCAGCCCCGCAGCGTGCCCGGTGAGAGGGAGGGGTGTAGCTGAAGGTGTTAGTCCGCTCCTGAGGTCGCGTGTCCCGGGAAAAGTTGGTGAGAAACCTCTGAGGGCTGCCCCAGAGCTCACGCTTGTCTCTGACGGGGCTCTTTGGTTCCAGCTGGGAAGATGCCGGAGCGTGAAGGAGTTTGAGAAGCTGAACCGGATTGGAGAGGGCACCTATGGCATAGTGTGTAAGTGCGGTGCTGGCTGCTCTCCCCAGGCCTGGGGCAGAGCCGCTTCCTGGGTGAGCTGCAGCCCAGCTGCCCCCATCCCGGCAGCGGGAGCATGTTGGGCTGGGGGGCCTGAGGCTGAGAGGAGGCTCATCAGTGCAGGGGGTCCCACTGGCTCGTGATAAAACCAGTGTTTGTCTTCTGGTACTGAGCACGCGGCCTCTGCTGCTCTTCTAGACCGGGCCCGGGACACCCTGACGGATGAGACTGTAGCATTGAAGAAGGTGCGGATGGACAACGAAAAAGATGGTAATGGAGGAGCAGGGGTGGCTCCTGTGGCAGGTGGGAGCGTCACCGGCCCCTGCTCGAGGCAGTCATGCAGCACGGCCCTTGCTCTCCGCAGGAATGCCCATCAGCAGCCTGCGGGAGATCACCCTGCTCCTGCAGCTTCGGCACCCCAACATCGTGGAGCTGAAGGAGGTGGTTGTAGGGAACCATCTGGAGAGGTGAGGGTCTCCTCTCTGCTTTCAGTCCCTTCTCGGTCCCCCGAGCTGCTTCTTGTGGCACAAACCTGCGGTGGGACCCCAGAGAGCTTCCTGAGGGAGGCTCCTGACTGTGGCTTGTCTACAACAGTATTTTCCTGGTGATGGGCTACTGCGAGCAGGACCTAGCCAGCCTTCTCGAGAACATGCAGACGCCTTTTTCAGAGGCTCAGGTAAAAGCTGGGCCAGACTTTAGGTACGTCACCCCTGTGAGGGTGTTGCCACTCTGGCCAGAACACGCTGGCCACTGGTGTGGACTCCCTGGACCTTGTGCTGGGCTTTGGCAGGGCTGGGGAGCAGCTGGGATTCCTGGGGAGTGTGGGCTTAGCTCGGAGCGCTCCAGGGACTTTCCGGGCTGGTATTTGGGCTGGAGCAAACTGGCAGGACAAGGGCACGGGGAGAAAACATACCCCCAGCCGGCCTGTGAGTTACTCTGGGAGGACCCGGGGGCCTGACTTGCTGTGGGGCCGTGGCAGATCGTGGGGTACCTGACTGGATTTAACCCCGGGGGTTTGCCTGGCTGGCACTGCTCTCACAGAGGTCCGTGCTCTTGTCTTCTGTCTCCAGGTGAAGTGCATCATCCTGCAAGTCCTCAAGGGCCTGCAGTACCTCCACGAGAACTACATCATCCACAGGTGAGAGCGGCGGGATGGAACTGCTGAGCCCTGGGGCCGCAGCATTGTCCTCCACTGTCCACACCCGTGTCCCAGGAGTGAGTGGCACTGTGTGGGGTAGCTCTGAGGGTGTGTGCAAATCATTGGCTCTGTGTGGGAGCACTGGTGGGACAGGGGTCTGCTGAACAGGTAAAAAAAAATCACAATTTTTGCTTCTCATGATTGTGCAGCTCCAGCTTGCCAGGCCACACTTGGGACACAGTGCTTAGTTTTGGTTCCTACTATTAAGAGAAGAGAGAGCCCAGAGAAGGGTTATAAAGACGATCAAGGGATTGGGCAGCCATGTAAGAAAAAGCTGAGAGAATTGGGTTGGTTTGGCCTTGAGAAGGCTTAGGAGGAGTCCTTAGCACCGTGTTCCAGTATTTAAAGGGCAGATGGAGGCTCCCTTTTTCTAAGGGAGGAGGAGTGGGTACAAGTTAGTCCTGGGGAGATTCCACTTAGACACAAAATTTTTCCTGCTGAGAACAATCAGCCACCAGAATCATCTCCCCAGTGGTGGATTCCCCAACACCGGACACATTTAAGATTCATCTGGGCTTGTCTAGACCGCGCTTCTGCCGGAAAGCTTGGACCAGACAGTCCCCGAGATCCCTTCCAATCTGGGACTCGTACAATGACCGTCCGCTCTCTCTTCCCCCGCAGAGATTTGAAGGTGTCCAACCTGCTCATGACTGACAAAGGCTGCGTGAAGATAGGTGAGCTGCCGCGCTCGCGGCTCTCCCTGCGCTCCGCTGGGAGCGGGGAGCTCGCTCCCGCCTTGACCTCGCGTGTCTCTCGCAGCCGATTTCGGACTGGCCCGCACCTATGGGATGCCACCAAAGCCGATGACCCCCAAAGTCGTCACACTCTGGTGAGTCGGGGGGGGGTCTGCACTGGCTCGGGGTGACGCAGGGGCTTCCTCTCCACCATGGTCCCCTCGAGACGGTGCTGCCCCCCTGCGCAGGTACCGAGCGCCCGAGCTGCTGCTGGGAATGACGACACAAACCACCAGCATCGACATGTGGTAAGGGGAGGACTGGG